CTGAGAGGACTGCAGGTAGTTGTACCTTCTGTAAAAACTGTCTTCAGTTATTGTTGCTTTCTGGATTTGTGAGCTCTCTGAACCATAAACGGCGTAAATCAAAATGAGCTGAGAGATAATGCTGCTGATGTAATGGAATCTGCATCAGTAAACACTAAACCATTGTGAGGAGAAGAATGGCCGAACCAAAAAAAAAACTTAGCAATCAGCGTTTGAAAAGAACGAGGACAGACTGTTTATCTTGAGTTGGGAAACCAGAACGTTTGGAGAAATCTGATCTGCTGTTGTCATGGACACACACACACACACACACACACACAGTCTCTGCCCTACATGCATGGCTCAGCGTTTGCTGTTTATAGCGCTGGTGAAGAAAACGTGTGTGTGTGAAAGAAAAAGGCCTGAAAACAGCGTGTTACCTTGCACATCGCTCCGTTCCGGCACTGACCCCGACAGTCGTTGATATCTGCACAAACAGTTCACAACAAGGTTAATAAAAATCATAAAGATTAGCAGCTGGGTTATCGAGCAGGATGTTGTTTTCATAGATACTTTGTATGTTATTCTGACGGGATGATTTCAGACTAACAAAACAGCTCCAGAACTTCAGTCAGTTTAATAAATTGGAGTTGTTTCGGACATTCACACATCACAGCACTGATTCAAAAACACAACCATTCTTATTTTCAGCTGATTATACACTAATGAACACATACGTATGGATATTATATTTCTGACAATAGATCATCCTCAATGTTACACACTGGACCTTTAAATGACTGAACATTGCAGCCATTGATAGTTAATAAACTGTGGGTATAAATTAAGAGCATTTGATAAAAAAATATTTTCTATACAAATGAAGATTATTGTTATCGCTGCTGGCGGGTTGAATGTTTTGGCACCACGACTGCGTCCACATCGTCTTACTCACTGGTGTCGCAGTTCTGCCCCGTCCAACCCGGGAGGCACTCGCAGAAGTATCCTCCAATCAGATTTCGGCAGGAGTTGGCGTTAACGCAGGGGTTGTCATCACACTCGTTGGCATCTGAAAGACAGAAAGACAAAAAACGAATAAACAGATCAGAGAGAGAAAGAGTGGCGTTCACAATGTGAGTGGTTTCATTAAAGCTCCTCTCAGAAATCAGTTCTCTGAGCTCATTGAACATCTGATTTTAAGGGGCGGGGCCTACGAGCATGATTTGTGACATCACAAATAAGTTCAGTAAGTAAATCCTGGTTCAGTGTGCAACCA